CAATGTATTTAAAAATGACAGAGTACTTAAGACAAATTTATTATAAGTGCAGAAGCCAAGAGTATTTTTTCTAAAAATAAAAGTTGTTTTCTTAGCACTTGGAATTATATTTAGCTACTATTCACAGGCCATGGTACTCTTGTCATTAAGGCACACAAATACATATCAAGCTGGAATTATATAGAACAAGTGAGCTTGAAGATTATACACAGTTGGGTTTCTTTCTTCTTGCGATATTAGACTTCGCTTCTTCTATTCAAAATTCCTTTATTTCTTTTTCTCTATTTATAGACTACTAGCAATTAATTTATTGGTAATAAGCAATTGTTAAAAGATATAGACAAAAGGAGAGAGTATGTTAGCGTGGTAAAATCTCTCACCATTATTATGAGAATCCAAGAATTCATCAATGTTATTTCCACTTTCCCAAAGATTGTTCGTATATCAGAAGACCGCTAATTGTAAGCAAATATTAAAAGAAGCGGTACATACGAACAGTAAGAAATACATCTATACAAATGCAAAAGGGCACAGTCACCAAAAACATCCACATAGTAAATATAAACCTCTCTTGGCAACTGCCCTATATATTATAGACTACTATCTTCTGACTGGAACTTCGTCCCTCTTTTGAACACATTAGTTTTATTATTCATTTTAGTATAGTTCCTTGGTTATTCATGGGCTTTTTGTCTTTTTTTGTTTTTTTATGTATTTTCGTATTTAGTTTGTGGCTTACTATTTATAGCTGGAATAACTTTAGCACTTTTTATCATCTTATATATCTCTAATATGAGACTTGTATGCTTTTCATGCACGTCAAGCATGGTACATAAGATGTTTCTAAGATTCTGCACGCCCTCTGCGTACAGTTCTTGTGCTGTTTTAATCGTATCTGTTAAAACAACCAGGTCTTTAGCATGTTTTTCATATATCATAACCCGCGAAAGTTTTTTTGCATACTCTGCATTACTTCTACGCACTAAACACATCATAGTCTTTTTTTCAACCATAGCATTTAGATAGTTTTTATTCTTTTTCAAGAACTCCTTAAATAATCCTGCGCTAACTTCTGTATGCATGAAGCGTGTACTTCATGCGGTATCTTCTGATTCATGCAAATTGTTTAAGTCATTGGCCAAGTCATTGTTTAATTCAGTGTAGTCCTTTCTGGCTTCCTGCAAATACTCCTTTAGAGTTTTTATTTCTTCACTTATAGCATTCACTATATCCACTCTAGTTTTTTTAGTTCATCTTCTATAAATGGCGATCTTTTAATGCTACATTCATCTTCTTCTGGAGCTTTTAGTGATGTTTCCATGTTTTTTAATAGACATATCTGATTGTTATATTTTTTAAAAGGTTTTCTATTTCTTCCTTCATATAAATTGCTTCTTTTAACTTATCTTGAAGGGTTTTGTTTCTGGTTATATCTTCTGCCTTCTCATATTCTGTGTTCAATTTATTATTTTTTTCTTCAAAGCATACAGCTTTATTACCATTTGCCTCTTGCAGCATATCTTTTTTTCCGGGATTTTTGCACTACAATTATAGGAAGCACCTTTGGATGTTCCTATATCTGCAGAATGGTTGCCTAAATGTAATGTGGAACTGTCTCTCTCACCATAAATTGCTTTATCTCTTTCTTTCTATATGAAATCTAGGCCATTATCTTTTACCATTGAGCCACATATATCCTGGTAATTTGCAGCACTCACTGCAAGCTTTCCTTCCATTAAATACACACCAATCACAATTGCACAGAGTATTTTTATTACGCATAATGCATGTTTCATACTATTACTTAATTTCTTAAAAGGAGTCATTGTTAAACTTTTAGTGTTGCCAGTAGCTCTATATATAGTAGTAATTTTAAATAAATTTTTATCTTTAGTTTTCTTAGTTGGCAACAGAAACTAAATACTTCTATTGCAAGAAAATATTTAAAAATAGTACATGCAAAAAATAAAGAAAAAGTCAAGTACAGGACTGTAACATCAAAGTACTTTATGTGGCATACTTGCGAAAGGAGTAAGGCTGTATATGGCAGCTAAGTAAGAACAGCATCTTGTTAAGTGAAAAGCCTTTCTGGCATACAACCGCATTAAATATCTAGATCTTTTGAAAAATTATAATTTTATTGAAAATACTGCTCTGTTGGAGCTAAACATGCAGATAATTTGTGGCATACTTCATTGCTAATAGGAATACATTTCTAAATACTTTTGCTTTGATTCTTCTATCTTTAGCTGGTTTTTGAGTTTTAAGTTCTTGGCTGCAAGCTCTGGAATCAGATAGTCTAAATTATTATAATTTGACAAGTCACTATCCATAATGATATTGTCGTTTGAATAGTTTCTGTCTATAGATGCACATAGAGTCTTTATGGCGTTCATTATCTTTTTAAGAACTTCTACACACTTTTCGACTATTTCCTGTTCAGAGTCTTCTTGGGCTTTATATTTAACAGATTTTTGAAGATCTAAATTTCTTCTTACGCGAACTAAATAACCCGAATAATGGCTGTCTTGCGGATTTGCAGGAGATTTTTTAATATCATTTAGTGCCTTTAGAAGACTAGTTCCTAAATATTCATTGGGTGTTTTGGGTACAAAAATATCAAAAGTTATACTTTCCTTTGATGTGGATTTTTCTTTTTTCACTCCCGTTTTTGGAGGGGTGTGTGTCGATGTTGAAGTATTTAGATTTGAGCCTACTTTAGAACCATTTCTTTGCTCAACTATTTCATCTAATTTCTTCTGTTTTTTTGGATTTCTTGTGATCTGTAAAGAGGTATTTCCTGGTCGGGAGCTTTCTTCACTTGGCTTAGGATATAACATTGCAGAAACATTTAACATCTTGTTTATCTTGGAAATATAATTTTCTGTAGAAGATGCAGCATCACTTAGTTGAGAAGAAGTAGTTTTTGTAGAAGGCGCAATATTATTTAGTTGAGAAGGAGTGGTTTTGGTAGAAGATGCAATATTATTTAGTTGAGAAGGAGTGGTTTTTGTAGAAGGTGTAGTATCACTTAGTTGAGAA